ATGTTGATATCCTTGATCCATTTGGAGTTTAGCTTTCTGTAGGGTGAGAGATAATAATCTAGTCTTGTTTCACATATAGTTAGGGAGCTTTACAAGCACAATTTGTTGACGATGTTGTCTTTTCTCCAATATGTATTTTCACCACTCTCCCATTTTGGTCAAAAGTTAGGTAGCTCTAGGAGTATGGATTTCAATTTGGGTCTTCAATTCTAGTCCATTATTCAACTGTCACTTTTTATGGTGTTATTATGTTATTTTTATTGTGATAGTTCTATAGTAAGATTTGAAATCAGGGGTGATGATACATCTAGCAGCATTTTTATTGTTAACAATTAGTTTTGTATCCTGGTTCTTTTGTGTCTACATACATGTTTTGAGATTCTTTTTTTAACTTCTGTGATGAATTGGATTTACTGGAATTTTGATGGAAATTGCATTAAAACTGTAGATTGCTTTTGGTGAGTGTGTATGGTGTTTCATCATATTAATCTCACCAAAAAAATGAGTATGGGTTTCAGCTTCGGGTATCTTCTTCAGTTTCCTTTTTGGTGTAATTTTAATTAATTAAAAAGATCCCTCAGAAAAGGGAAACCTTCATTCCCACCATCTCTGCTCAACAAGTCGCATCAGACTGAGCATATCTTTTTCCCTGTGGTCTGGAGAGTCAGTCCGGCCAGGGAAAGGCTATCTAAAAGCTGTCAAGAGCATCATTGTCAGATGTTGTCCCTGCTTTTCTTATTTGAGGACCCACATGAAGCCTAAGCTGACCATCTGCTACATGTTTGTAGGGGACTTAGGTCCTGTTCATGCACTGTCCTTGGTTGATGTTTCAGTCTCAGCAAGCCCCTCTGGGCCCTAGTTAGTTGTTCCTGTTGGTCTTTTGTGGAGCTCCTGTCACCTTCAGGGCCTTTTCTCTTTCCTCTCACTTTTCCACAAGAAGCCCTATGTGTCACCCAATGATTGGCTGTGATTCTCAGCATCTGTTTTGAGGTACTGCTGGGTAGTGCCTCTCAGAGGACAACACTTTTAGGCCCTGTCTGCAAGTTTAGCAGAGTATCATTCATAGTGTCAGGGGCTGGCATTCCCCCTTATGGTGGGTCTTTGGTTGGGCCAGGCATTCATTGGCTGGGCATTCCCCCAGTCTCTGCTCTGTCTGCTCTATCTTTTTCCCTGCACATCTTGTAGGTGGCGTAAATTTGGGGTCCAAGATTTTGTGAGTTTTTTGGTGTTCCCCTCCCTCTGCTGGGAGACTAGTCTAAGTTAGAGGGTGTCTTCTTCAGTCTCTATGGCCTCTGCTACCACGAGTCTCTGCTTGAGTCCCCCTCATATCCTCCCAGGAGCCTAGTTTTCTTTTTCTTTTCAAAATTTTTTTTCATTATATATCCCAACTGAAGCCCCCTACCTCAAACTCCCCTATTCCCACCCTCCCTCCCTCTCCCCCATTCCCACCCTCCCTCCCTCTCCCCCCCATTTCCACCCTCCCTCCCTCTCTCCCCTATTTCCTTCCCCTAGTTCACTGAAAGGGGGAGTTCTCCACAATTGCCATCTGCCCATAGCTTGTTAAATCTCATCAGGACTGCCTGGATCCTCTTCCTCTATGGCCTGAGAAGGTTGCATCACCAGGGGAGAGTGATAACTGAGTTGATGACAGAGGCAGCCCCTGCTTCCCTCACTCAGAGATCCTCACTCAGAGATCCACATGGAGACTGAGCTGCCAATTGGCCACATCTGAGCAGGGGGTCTATGTCCTCTTCATGCATGGTCCTTCATTGGTGTGTCAGTCTCTGCAGGATCCCCTGGGCTCAGATCCTTTAGCTTTGTCGGTCTCCTTGTGGGTCTCCTGTCCCCTCCATGTCCCTCTATCCCCACCCTTTTCTTCCTCCATAAGACTTCCTGCGCTCTGCCCAGTTTGACCCTGAGTCTCAGCATCTGCTTCGATTCCCTGTTGGGTATAGCCTTTCAGAAGACCCTCTATGGTAGACTCCCATCCTGTTTCCTCTCTTCTACCACTTCTGGTGTCTATTCTATTTGACATTCTGAAAGAGATTTAAGCATCCTCCCTATGGTTCTTCTTAGTGATTAGCTTCCCTAGTTTTCATTGTCCAAGTCTCTTACTTCCTTTGTTATATTTAGTCCAATTTTTAATTTGAGTTTTACATTAATGTTTTTTAATGTTTATTTATTTATTCACACATCCCAACCATAGCCTTCTCCCTCCTCTTCTTCCGGTTCTACCCTTACACCCTCTTTTCTCATACCCCCTTTTTCCTCAGAAAATGGGAACCACCAGCCCTCTACTAACCAACCCCAGCACATCTAATAGCATTAGGACTGAGTGTGTCCTTTTCCACAGAGGCTGAGCAAGGCAGCCCCACCAGAAGGAAGTGATCAAAAATTAGGCAACAAAGTCCATGTCAGAGACAGCTCCTGCTCCCCTACTAGGGAACACACATGAAGACTAAGGTGCCCATAGGCTACATATGTGTAGAGAATCTAGGTACAGTACATGCATGGTCCTTGTTTATTTGGTGCTTCAGTCTCCTTAAGCCATTCTAGGCCCAGGTTAGTTGACTTTGTTGGTCTTTTTGTGGAGTGTTTGTCTCCTCTGAGTCTTTATATCCTCCACTTCACTCTTTCACCAGGCTCCTGGTGCTCTGCCTAATGTTCGGCTTTGAGTCACAGCAAATGGGATTATTTTCCTGATTTATTTTTTCTCTCCTTTTTTTGCTATGCTTGTTATGGTTTATGGGAAGACTACTGATTTTCTGTGTTAATTTTGTATCTTCCTACTTTGCTTAACATTTTTATGAGACGTAGGAGTTTTGCAGCGATGCCTTAAAGTGTTTGTATATAGATTTGTGTATCATCTCCAAATAAAAATACTTTGATTTATTCCTTTCTTAATTTATCCCTGGTTTTAATGCCTTAGATAAGACATTTCACACTTATTTTTAACAAGAGTGGAACAAGTGGACATTATTGTCTTGTTCCTAATTTTAGTGGAGATGCTTTGAGTTTTTCTTCATTTGTCATGATATTGACTGTAAGCTTGTAGTGTATTACCTTTACTGTGTTGAGCTGTTTTTTGTATTCCTAGAGTCACAGGAGTTTCATTATGAAAGAATGTTAATTTTGTGAAAGGCTTTCCTTTTGATGAGGGATTGCATTGAATCTGTGGATTCCTTTCGGTAGCATAGCCATTTTCTCAGTATTAATTATGCTGACATATAATTAGCATGGATGGTCTTTCTATTTTCTACTGTCTTCAATCTATTTCTTCTGTGTTTCAAAATTTTCATCACAAAGGTGATGATTAACTTTTTTCCAAATTATTTTATTTTTTTGAGACTTGTGAATGGGGGGATTGATTTTTTTAAACCATGAATTATCCTTGTTTGTTTCTAGTAATATTTCTTAAAGTCTGCAATGCCTGCTCTAAGTCTATCTTTTCAAATTTGACTTTTAATATTGTGCAGAGTAATAATATTGCATAGCATTTTTTTTGTTTCTGAATTATTTTACCTAGCATAATGTGACCTAAGTTTATTTTGTATAAATTTAAATATTTAATCCTTTTATATTTGACAAATTTAAAATATATTTGAGCTTAAAATATGGATCCTATGTTTTTTGTTTGTTTGTTTGTTCCTATTTGTCCATCATGGCTTAGATTTTGATTGCTTCCTTTTCTTGTCTTTTATTTAAATAGATAAATATTTAAATATTTTCAAATATCTGTTTCCATAAGACCAAGATATAATACATATTTGAATACTTCAGAAAAAAATGGATATGTAGTTATGGTGTAATACAAAGACTATCACAATATAATCAGACGTCTTCATTTCAAAGTATTTTCCTAATGCTTTAAAGTTTGAATTTAAATAGGCACTAAGTGCTTATGGGTTTCAGGCTCATCATTATTGGGTCAAGGTGAAGATTTAGTAATATGAGTAAAATCATTTTGAAACTTTTTTTCTAGAGAGCACATTAAATTATTATTATTAACAACTCTGTACATAGTAACAATTTAAAGTTTTATTTTTACTGAAATCTGTTTATACTGTCCAACAAGTAGAATATATGTTATTTTAAAGACTGGAATGAACATTAAAATATTTCTAGAATATGAAATTTAAAAGTGTGCATATATAATCGAGTGTGTGTCAGGCCCAGTGATTTAAAACATGCTTCCATTTGTATCTCTGTGCTACCTGTGCCAGGTGTGTTATGTAGACAGCTATAGAGTCTTCTCAGTAGTGTTTAGAGATGTGCTTTTTGTATTCAAATCATTTGTGGCTACTTAGTTACTTACTACATAACTTTGGAGTTGTTTTAGTTCTTTATTCTATATTTTTCTTGTATGTAAAATGAGATAGTAACAGTACCTCATTCATGCAAGTTGTTCTGAATATTAAACTGATCAGTACACTTAAGCTTTAGGACAGTCTATATCAAACATAAAACTTAGAATTACTAATTTTTTACTAAAATTAATTTTTCTCTTAACTGCATAGTAGTTAAAATTTACATTTTATTCTTTATTGTAGTAATAGTTATTTTAAATTTACATATTTGTTACATTATCATGTTTGTTTGTTTATTCTGTGATTGTGTGCATTGGTGGACACATGCCACGGTGCACACATGGAAGTCAGAGAATTTTCTGAAGGAGAGGGGAGGAGAGGGGAGAGGAGGGAAAATTGTAGCATTGATTCATTCCAAAGCTTATTGGGACATAGTACAGTCTTCATAACCCAACCTTGTTTGTTGCACAAAGGTTCTAGATCATAAAGGCCTGGCAGAGACATCTGTACTACAGCTTGGACTAGCTGAAAGTCTTCCTTACTTTAGGCTGCACTCGGATTTGCTAGGTCTAAGATCATGGCTGTTTAGACCTACCAGTGTCAAATAAAGATTAGGACTAGTATCAGAGCTCATAATCTTGTTAAGATGCATGAATTTTTATTAAAACACAGTTCTCTTATGCTTTGTTTTAGGTAACCTTGGCCGTGTTGAGCAAGTCTCTGAGTTTGAGTATGATCTGTTCATTAGGCCAGACACCTGTAATCCTCGCTTCCGAGTCTGGTTCAACTTTACTGTTGAAAATGTGAAAGAATCACAGGTGAGGGAAATGGTGGCTATCTAGTGTGCTCTTACAAAAAGAACATAGTTTTCTTTCTTTAACAGCTGTTAAAACTCTGTAGCAGATTATATTTCTCTACATCCATAGCAATGAAAGGATTTTGTTTCAAGAGATATTGGGCAGTAGGAAAAGGATGCTAACTTATGTTTTCTGATGGAATTAATCTACACTTTTATCTAAGAAATAAAGAATTATTTACTGATTAAATTCTTATTTGTGATGCTTCCTTGTGGACTACCATAAGGAAACATTGGAAGTGCTTTGTTGCTTATGTTTCTAAGACGCTGTTACATCATCTTTCTAAGACCCAGGAAGACTTTTCTCACAGGCCCCATCTCATAAAAAGCCCTTATCTTTCCAACAGGATGTTCCTATTTTAAGGATACATGACTATTATAACTGATTGTCTTCCCTGAAGTTTATGTGCTCAGGAACTGAAAGGCTTTTTAAGTTATCTAAGTGATTTTGGGAGACCTCGTGTTTTCTGTTCACACTTAAATTTTATGAACATATTAATCTGATTTAATCTTGATTTCTTCAGCTTTACTTTCTAACTACTAGTGATTCATAGTCCTTTTGAAAACTTGTTTTTCATGAGTGAATATTGATGAAAATAATGATAAAGTACTTATGCTTTAAATGTACATTAGCAAAATCTAATTCTAACAAACACTGCCACTGTATTCCATTCAGACAGCTACAAACAAGCAGACTACACCAACGGTGTGTGACTAGTGATTTTATGGTTCTGTATGCACATGGAAGCCTGGCCATGAAAGACATTACCCCTTTATCCTTGGGTTGTCTTTATCTGGACTACCAGGAAGAAAAATGAGAGCTTGTTCCATGTCTCCTCAGAGTCACTCAATGCTGTCTGCATCTCTCTGTTCTTTTCAGTTACAGCTTGATTCATGTTTTAGGCTCTGGAAGTGTCTGGAATTCAGGGACTCCTGGGTTCTTCCTTGACACTGTTCTGTTCCTGGCATACTAGCTTTAGCAGAAGAGGGAGGAATACTAAACTTTTCAACCAATTGTCCTAATTCCCTGCAATACCACTGACACAGCACTGGGGAATATGCCCTCTTTGTTGCTGTTTAGAGGCCAACTGGTGGGAACTGAATATGGGAAAAATATTTATATCGTGCAAAATATGACACTTCAGAGTTTTAGCACATGAGAAAGGAGACAAAAGAGCCGAAGCTTACACAGAGACCCCACACCCTGGGCAACTAGTTCTAGCCTTGCTTCTTGCTTTTAGCTAATCTTACAAGACCGGCTCTCTTTTTTTTAGAGTTTCCATAGCAGTATCATGCACTTTCTCATTCCTGTCCATGTACAGTGGTTCATCTTCCTCTAGGATTATTCCCTAACATAATCAATAATCTTCAAATACTCTGAAAATTTATGTGTACTCCTGAAACGTTCTCTTGATATCACAAAGTGAACAAATATCCTCTTGTCTGTCCTTCTATTGCTGTTGCCAACTCAGGTTGGTAAGTTAGGCTTATCACATATATACTCCTCTTAAAAGCAAAAACTATTCTGCAGACAGTTCACATGAACGAGGGAAAACATTTTCTTAAATGCCACATAAATGTGCCAGAATATCCAATCCATAGAAAGTACTGCCCTTTTCTTACACAGTTTATATTCTTCAGCTCGCCTCTGTGTCTAAGAAACCAGTAAGTCCTAGAAAAGGGATTTTTTTTAAAAATTTTATTGTTAAATAGAGACTGAGTAGTAGTTCCTGAATTTATGCTATTTCTTAAACTTTGGGTCACATTAGGGCCAGCCATTGTTTCTTACTTCAGTCTCAAATGAAGATTGTCTGTATTCAGCTCATATTAATAAGTAAAGGAGTAGGGATGTGCTCATTTGACATTTGCTGAAAATCACTCCCTCCAGTTACGCTACCTGACACAGACTGTTGGGAAAGTTCACATGCATTTCAAATGTTATAGTTTGCTTTTCTAATTTGCTTGTAGAATGCCCATTTTATTGTTTGAAATGATATGTCAAAACCATAGTGTCCTAAGTTTTATACTGTATATTTAAAGTATATAGGCTTTATGGCATTCTTTCTAGCAATTAAATAAGTAACATGAATGTGTTCTAAGCGGTTCCTTTGATGAGAGAATTGGGTGTGTTTTATGAACATGTATTTTTGAAGTTGTCATGGCTGATATTTAATCTTCTTCCCTGGGTTCTAACTATATAAACAATACTACCCTACGCTTGTGACAATCTGAAACCTTAGATGTGTTCATGTAGTTTTCTGAGCCTGATGCTTCATTCACCATGTTTCTGTGGCCACTGTCTCATCAAATCTAACCACATTATAAAGTTATGGAAATCTGTCTCAAGAAGGAATAAAGATTGACTAGAAAGATACTGTGTGTATCCCTAGTTCACAGGATATTTGTTTTCATGGTTGTCTACATGAACGAGAAAGGTTTTACTATTAAAGTCTGACTTGTGAGATCTGCTTTTATAATGTCTTTTCCTATAATCTCTGTCCATATCTCTCCAATTTCCGCTAAAATGGGAGCTGCACGAATGTAATCTCCTCAAGAACTTTATTTAGTGCTTGAGGAACAAGCCGACAAGAAAATATTAGTCATCGCAGACAGACTCCATTAAGTGAATGTTAAAAATCAAAGAATCAAGTGTACTGTACATGCAGGGCTGGCTCCAGGGTTATTTTCCTTGATGTTGTTAGGAAGAGATAAAAGCTTGGAACATGTGCTGCAGTATCACAGGACTGATATATTAGCCCTGCAAAAGTAGTTGTTAAATAGTACATTTGCAAGAGTTGATGGAAACTAAATGTCCTGCTCCCTTTATGAAAAAGTAATTTTTCTCTCTGAAAAACTGATATTAAATATTCTTATGTAGAAATGCATTATTGATGAAGTAGAACATTTGTGTGATGTAAAAGCAAATCTTTCTATTTAAATACTTACCATGGAATTTTAGCCAATAAGAGAAAAGAAAATGATATGCTTGGGCTACTTCAGCTGTTTTCATTTGTACATTGTTTTCTATATTCTATTTTTATTTTTCCATTTCCTGATTACAAAAGCAGCCAGTGCTCAGTATATTCAAGATGGAATATATAGTTAATTCTTGGAAGCAGAAAATGGAACACAGACACACACACACGCACACACACGCACACCACTATCATTTGTCCTAGTTTGAGGTACATAATACTAAATTGGATGTATTCTCTACGGTATTTTTTAGATAATTAATTTGCATTATAAATATAATTCTAATATTTTTCCTTCAAGAACCTAAACATGACAATTACTTTTATATCATTAAATTTTGCAAACATGGCAAATAACTGTTTACTATGTACTCATTCCTTACTCTTGAATATAAATGCTATATATATTAATATATTAATATTTAATATAATAAATCACATATTACATTATATATTATTGTAAATGGCATTGTTGGAAACATCTTACTGTAGGAAATATTAAAAAAATATTTAGAAAGAACTTCTTTTCAGGGAAGTGGCTGGACAAAGGACGTGTGCATCTTGGAGAACCAGCACCTGTTATTTAAAGTTTATGCTACTTGGTTTTCTCATCAGTATCAAATTAGGTGTTTTTTAAAAACTTTCTTGACTGAAATTGCTGTTTTTATGCAGATATTCACATTTTCAGAGTGAATTGCTTGTTTTCTTTACTTTGAAACCTCATACAGGTAAATAGTTTATAGCAGAGTGCCTCAGGCCTCTAGGCATAAAGAAATTAATTGCATTCCAGTAACATCATTGCACTACAGAACAAGTTCATTTGTTATATTTTGTTTTTTTTTCTCTGCTCATCAATCCTGTTTTATCTGGGCATGCAATATATTTTTCTCTAGATACAAAAAGAAGAATAATAAGGTCTGATGTAGCATCATTGAAATAAGATGGTTGAAGGCTTGCACCCATAGTCCCAGTTACTTGAGAGGCTGAGGTAGAAAAAAATTACAGAGTTAAGGGGTCTGGACCCAGCCTTGGGTAAGAGAGAAAGACCCTGTTTCTCAAAGGAAAATTAATTTTTTATTAAAAATTGTTTTTTTTTCATATGTATAGAAGTGACTGCTCCTTGAGGTTTACTCTAAAGCTTTGCTGAGGGGCATAATGTAGTGAAGGCAATTTAGCCCTACTGCACAGATGTGACTTTCTGGAAAAACCCACTGAGTGACTCCAGCCACGAGGGCTGCTTGATCACAGACCAGACATCTCTCAACCTGTATCTTGGAAATCATGACACACCTGGGCGTGAAGATATTCACTTATTTTTCCAAAGGGATCTTCAGTTTTGGGTACCTGTTCTCCAATTTTGGTGTATATTGTGTTCTATTTATTGATTTTGGTAACTGGGCATGTATAGAAGCAGATATTTCATCATAGTCATAAGGTAGCTTTTCAATGAGAGGCCTTTAGGGCTTTGTTAGTTCTCTGCAGTTAATTTCAAGTAAATGATATTTTTTCATTGTTTTAGAGTCTTACATGTGTATATACAGCTTTTCACACAGCTTATTGGCCCAGTGTGTAATACTCTACAGATTTATGCAACATTTTTCTTTGCCAATGTTTCTATTCTAATATTGTGTTTTGCATTTCTAGCTTTACCATCTTAAATTCATTCCTTATTCTTCTAACTTCTGTTTTTTTCAGCCATATGTAGTAAAAGTCCTTTACTTTTTTACATTTTCGTTTAGGTTGTGTGCTCTGGTTGAAAATCTTAGGGATCATACAGTTTCCTGCACTTGTTTCTTTCCTTTCTGGAGTCAGTCTTTAGTCGCTGGGGACAGCGTCTAAAATCAGCCGTTCAATAATAGAATATAAGGGGAAAATAAATTTACTACCAGATACTGTTTGGCTGAGAATATATCAGGTTTCAGTTTTAACAATATGTACTACAAAATAAAAGGAGGAAGAAGACAAATTAGGATACATAGAAGATTAT